GCTAAAAATTGAATGGGTCCTATCAATAATATAATAATAATAATAATAATAATATAATAATAATAATAATAATAATAATAAAATAATAATAATAATAATAATAATAATAATAATAATAATAATAATATATTACGAAACCACAAAAAACAAGTGTTCAGTTAACTTTCCCCTTTGTGAGCTTTCGGCCTGGAAAACACAATTACAGCTTTCACGCTGGAAGAAGTCGTAAGCGGTCCAACAAAACGCTCTAATTTGGATTATATAACATTACGCGCGCCAAATCACACACAGAGTTTCTGTACAATAGCGCAACGCTTAGCATACCTTTACTCCCAGCTGTTTTTCTTCGAAAGCACTATCTTCTGTCTCTTAATTGCTGATTGAAAATGAACAGCTCCGATAAAAAAGTTATGAACCATCTTCCCGAACACAACCCTGATGGAATGAGAGGTAGCAGAGGTGCGCAATGCGTTGACCCGGTTGAAACGGGCATCGACGTGGGTGCTGCAAGAATGGTTTGAAGCGAAACTCGGCAGAGCATTTACTCGAGTGAATGTTTCTTTGGCACGCAAAGACACGGGAGGCGAGTTAATTTTCTTGTGTGTTGCATCACACAAAGACTGTTCGCTCCATGTGCGCACGAACTTTGCGAGTGGTAGAGAGGGTGAAGTGAGAGAGACGCACGCGGTAAGCAGCGACAGGCTAGTGAGAGAGTGACGTCAACGCGTGCGCACTGCAATAGAGGCGTGACCTACTCAGCACTGCCCCAACATCTGCGGCCAGGAGAGCATAGTGTGGATGGAAGGACAGCGTTACACAGGCTAGTCAGAGAGCCGCTTCGCATCTAATAATTGGTTGTGTCAGTTATTTATTATTGCGAATTTGACTCGTTATTTAACAGTTTGATTGGTGGTATATTGTTGGTACTGGTTCGCCTGGTAAAGTATAAGATAGGTGTCGCTCAAAAATACGTAGTCTGCAACACATTTGTACTCGCATTACAAGGGCTAAGCAGAGACAAAGTCAAAGCTGACTGTCCCAAGATATTTTGCAAGCAATTGCCAACAAATATTTGCTTTGGAAACGGTGTAAACACTTCTTTGGTAATTCAGAACTTGGTATCAGCTACAAAATTGCAAAGAATAAAGTTGTTGCCGTCACTCGATCGGTAAAACAACGATATTTTCGCCATCAGTTTCTGTTGTCTGCCAGAAACCCGGCGCGGAAGTCGTCACTTATGAAGCACCTTCGTGCTAAAGAAGGTCGCGATACAAACCTACTGACGCGTTTACTGGTGATACTGCCCATACAGCTAATACATTTATTAGCCACTTGGAAAAAGTGTCTGGTGGTTTATTATTGGCACCAATAGGCCACTCTGGTTTAAATAAGTCAATACCTTCCTCTGTCTTTCTTCAATGTTTACAAGATATTTCCTTTGATATGAGTGGTTTAAGTCCCTAAATCACCATATTTTTATCAGGGACGCCGTAGTGGAAGGTTTCGTAAGTTTCAGCCCCTTGGGATTCTATAACGTGTACTCAAACCTGAGTACATGAGTCCACAGCATTTTCGCGTCCCCAGAAAATGCAGCCGCCACATCCGGGATTCAATCCCACCACCGGCGGATCAGCAGTTGAGTACCTTAGCTACAAGGCCACTATGGCGAGGTGATTAACAAAAGATGATTTCGTTAGAATAGTTTCACGTTTAAAGCGGCAGAAGCCAGCAATTATTTATCGTATCTCTGTAACTTTGCCTGAGCGAAGTTGGACTCATTACGAAAAATTTTCTTCGTCATGTTTAATAGCTTTTTCGAGACAACTTCTCTTCCATCAGATTTACCAACACCAATTGTAAAGTCCCTTCATAAAGTTGCACCAAATGATAGCATTGACAGTTATCGACCTATATCAGTTTTTCCTATCTTATCTGGAATAGTTGAGAAAAGCTTATTGCAATGCAACTCTGTTTCTGGAGAAATTTTCGCGAATTTCAATTCACCACTTTAGTTTTGTCGCAGGTAGAGGTACCATTGATTTGCTTGAAGAATTTCTCCATGAACCGCATGGTGCTTTGGAACATGATATGTTTGCCTGTGCTTTATTTCTGGATATTCTCAATCAAAACATTGACCACCATAAACCTTTTAAGCTGCCTTTAAAAAATATACTTCTTGGCTTCAGAGGACGGTTCTACGACTTTCTTACAATTATCTTTCTGACCGCTTCCAGGTAGTTAGATTACACACTAGGTTGCCTTTCAGCACGAGGCTTACCTCGAAAGCTGGTGTACCACACGGATCCATTATATCGCCAGTTTTATTTAATTTATTCATAAAAGAGTTTACTACACTGCTGTTCGAAACTGTCCTGTAGTTCAGTATGCAGACGACACGGTTTTTTTAACCAAACATGTCTGTTACAGCAAAAGCGTTGTCACTACTCTAAGACAGTGTTCATAAGGCTGTGTCATGGTTCGCTAATATTCGCTTGCTGATTAATTAGAAAAAAATTTGAAACTAATTTGCTTTAAAATTCTTTGAATGCAATACTGACAAACGCGTCCCTATTTCTTCATGCCCATGTTTGCGCTTCCTTTAAATGTACTCCCATTGAATATAATAATTCCATATGATATATTTGTGTGTTCTTCGATAGTGACTTACTTGCCTTGGAATGGTCATTTGGCTTACATATGTGGCAGACTATGCAATATTTTATGGTTACTTTTTAATATTAGATCAATTGCGCCCACCAATATTAAAGGGACCGTTATGCTTGCTCTTGCGTACAGTGTCTTGCGATATGGCATCACATTATTTACTTTCTGTTCTTCACGATCGCAGTGACGCGTTGATACCATCTTGAAAAACATGTTTAAATCTATTGTTTACAGTCATACATCAGACAATGCAAATTTATTTCTTTTACTTCGCCTGCCATTTTTCAAAGGGTCATTCATTAAAACTACAATATTACGGCGTTTATGGAACTCTTACTTCAAAAAATAGTGCATTGCCCCTCGTATACAAAGAAAAACTCGCTTTTTCGTACTATTCATGAAAACACGATATGGCTAATCTATTAGGAAGGTCTACGTTTCTTCTGTTATTAATCACCTCCCCGACAGTGTTGTTTTTGCAATGACAAAATGCAATTTAAGAATGTTCTAAAATCACTTAAATGCTGCGCCATTATTGCATGACTATTTTGTTACCCTGTTTCGTCTGGGTATGATCTGTTGAAAAACTGCTCTATCCTTATCTCAAAATTCTCCTGTTTAGGTAGTAATGCTTCCGCTAGTTTTATATCCTTGCATTTTATTGTGCCGAAATGTTTATATGTAGTGTGAAAGAGTTACATGTCTTCTTTTCCTGATGATTTTATGTTACAAGCTCTCCAATATGTATGTCATATTTAGTTTGCCGATATGCTGGGCCTAGTAATCCAAGCCACCGTCTGGCTTTGAAAGGCCTGTTACCCGCGTTGTACTAAAGATCACAATAAAGATTAATAATAATAATAATAATAATAATAATAATAATAATAATAATAATAATAATAATAGTCAACTTCGTCGGCTCTAAAATATATTCTGCTAAATGAAATGCTTGACTATATCGCCATTCAAGAATTTGCGGCAATACATAATGTGTTATGGCTATTTGCAGTACATTTTGCAGCCATAACAACTCCAAGCTATGAGCATAGCTCACGCATTGTGTAACGCGTTAGTTACAGCAATTAGAAGCATGGGAATGCATACTCATAGGTACAAAAAGCGATTAGTTGATTCACAACTTTCAGTCAATTTGAAAGATGAAACTGAAGCGAAACTGCAATTCTAACCAGCTGGTAAATTACGCCTGTTTCTGTTTTCAATTTTCTCTCCACGTGGCTGCTCATATACTTTAAGATGAAGATGAAAGCTTGCCCTATGAGTGATTATTGAGTGTTCACTTCCGCTTCTTTTTGTGATCCGTGATATTTGTGTAACTTTCTCACGTGCTATTATTACCATCTTTCTTGGAATCTTTAACTTCAGGATAAAAAAGAAGTGTTCTGAAGTGGGCGCAACTGAACTGAGATGAACCCAAGAAAGATTCATTATACCGTTTTGCCATCTTTTGGCGCCAACTTATCATTCGATGTTAGAATGGGTATTCATTGATCCCATTCATACATATTCATACATATTCCAGTTGTTCTGGTCTATGCTCACCACCGGTTGGGCATGGCGTTGATGAGCCACTTCTTTTTCTAACTGCATTGATTTCTGCTTAAACCTACACCAAGGGGTAATAAGAGTAATTACTATGAATTCAGTTTCCTTTAAGACATTCTTTTTGGTTTGCCAACGGTGTGCTCCTTTATGCAATAGCTCGGCGGTCTGTCGCCTCGCTTTCTCTTAACGGAGCAATTTAGAGAAGGGGGCGTGTTTACCGCTCCCACTTAAGCCTGCATTTCTTCGAAGGACTTCACAACTGACAGCGAGCGGCAAGCCACTGAGCATTCCGCGTGCCCACCCCTACAAGCTGCCGCGTTGGCCCAACGGTATATTCTACGTATACCCGGCGCCACCGCTTTCCCTAGAAAAGATTTTTCACGCTCGCAGCGCACCACGGGTGGCGCGTGTCCGGGGCGCCCGAATACAACTGGAGGAGAAATACGATACGTGCGGAAAACACGTACAAACAAACGCGCGCAACGCGCCCCAGCAGGTGGCCACTCCACTTTCTTCGCCCTGTATACACCGTCCTCTCTGCCTCCTTTCCTCCCTCGTCTCGCCTTTCGATCGTCACCACTTCTCGGCGTTTTTGTCGGTCGAGGTTATCTTAGATTTTGGTTTTTTGTTTGTGTGTGTACTACTGTTCACCTTGCGAGCGGCCGAGGAGTGCCATCTTCCCTTTCCCTCTGCCTCACGTTCCGGTGGATGTGTCGTCCGGCCGGTGCAAGCAGGTTGCCAGCAAACGCTAGGAGCAGCCACACCACAACAGCTCGTGGCTGCCCGACCGGAGGTTGGGGTGAGGGGAGATTCCCGCCTTTGGAGGCAATCCGAGAAAAGCAAAACAAAAAAGCATTGCCGGCGGTGAGCAGGAAAACCCCAGCCAATGGGTCAACGTTTTGGGTACTATAAAAGTTGTCCCTTATTCTGCCGGAGAGTCAACCTAGGTCGCAGCGTTCCAAGACAGTCGAATCCAAGTACCCTCCAGCCAACATGGCACGCAAACTGGTGAGTTATGTTTCGACGCTTTTGGTTAGTAATGGTCGCTCAAGGGACTGCAATAAAAGAACAACAGAAAACAGAGTGAATCTTGAATTGTTTGTCAAAATTCGCATGCATTCTATAGTTGATCTGTAGTAGCCAATGCAACCTATTTGTGATGCCAGGTGAAAAAAAGAAAATTTTCAGGTGGAAAACATGGCGCACGGTATCTTTATTTAAAGCTATGGAACTAACTGAAAGACATATTCTTGATCATTAAAATACTTGTACGAATAATTATCTAGATACAGAGTTTTCATATCTTAATATAACTAAACAAGCCGACACGTTTCTTTCCTAAAGTCAAAGTTTACTGTAGACTACAATGTTTCATAGCAAAGCCAAGTCAAAGCCAAAATTCTGACAACTACGTTGCGTCTTCATGTACGTTTCAAGCAGTAAGAAAGCAATGCCACTAAGTGGGCGTGAAGTATTGCTCGCGGAATTTCTGAGGTGCCTCCCTGAGAATATATCGCAGCAAAACTTCACGTGGTTAAAGTTATATGACTGATAAAAGACAAATGGCTTCTCCGTTTTGTCAGTACAGTGTGACGTATCTTTTAATTTGAGATGCGAGTCTTTTCTACAGTAATAGAGTAAATCACGTAATTGCATGTGTTAGTGCGTACGCTGCAATATGATTGTCAGGATACTTAGAGCACTCCAGCAACGAAGTAAGGCTTCTTGAAATTCATGGTCTGCTTTCTGTTTTTTTATCAATATATAGTTCATCATGGTTGCCCTTGTGGCCGTAGTTGCACTAGCCTACGCTGAGGAAGAGAAGAAGGAAGAGAAGAAGGATGACGTCGAAGGCCGCATTGGCTTCGGCAGTGGCTACGGCCACCTGGCAGGCGGCAACCAATACGGCTTCAACCGCGGAAGCGCAGGCTTCAACCAGGGCAGCGGAGGCTTTGACAGCGCCAACCGCTTCAACAACGTGCAGGGCTTCAGGAACCGCGAAGGCTACCGCACGAACCAGGGCTTCGACCAGACCTCATTCAACCGCTACGGATCTGGTGGTGGAGGCTTCAACACTGGCTTCAACCGTGGTGCTGGTGGTGCTTTCAACCAGCACGGGTTTCAGAGAGGAGGCTACCTCGGCTGAGCGACGAGAAGTACCTAACAAGTAAGTTACTACGTTGATAATGCATGAAGAAAGTGGTCTACCGTCTTTTGAGCTGCCTGGCTTTCATTTATTTCTGTTATTTCTACTTCCTGTTGTGTTCTAGTGGTTTGAAAAATAAGGTGATATCAAAGACTCCGTCACTACAAAATCACCTTAAGATCTGCGAAATACTTATTCTTGTACTACGGCAGCACATTGTCACGAGTTACTTTCAGTCGCCCTATTATTTTCGTTTCAAATAAAGTTGCATCACGCCGCATCTTACTGTGATTTGCCTCAAGCGCTCATTGTTAGGTAAAAAAGGAGTTGACAACCGAGCATATACGTCAGCTCTTTTCGCAGCGTTTGAGAGTCAAGCAGGAGATAAGCGTAAATCAAGAACACTTCGTGCGATTGCATATAGTACCGCTTCATTTGATTTCGAAATTTGAACTTTGAAACAAGCTGTATTGCTACTTCCCACTCAATAACCAGCATTGATATCTTTCTTTTTTTTTTTTGCAGAAAACCACAAGAACTGCCGAAAAGAAAGCTGTCTTCCGTGCATTGAACCCAGGGACCTGTCTTCAGCAGTCTTATACCATGAAAACCACCATTGAACTGAAGCGAAATCACTGTCTTCGTTAAGAGAATTACTGCTCGCTGTGAATGCAGCGGGCAAAAGTGAAAATAAAGCATGTTAATTTATTTTATTATGCCTAAGGACTCTTTCATCTTTCCAACTGCTCTGTTTGTTCAATTTCACAACAATAATAATCGATATATTTACCATTGACTGTTAGAACAGCGAGTAGATATGGTGGTCAATATTTGCCACATTCCCAACAGTGAGCAGACTGAGAGATTGCGCATCGGAAGTGTTAGTAAAGATATGAAATTGGGATGGAGTTGATACATTAATGAAGTTATCTTTTTCATTTTATTTTAGCCAAAAGCCGTTGCAGGCCGTTACAGGCTGTTAGCCATAGGTTGATACACGGTGGAGTAATGAAATACACTTCCCACATCGTTGAAGACACAGGCGCTGCACGAAGAAGTTATTAAAAACAACACATCTGACAGCTTTATTTAAACCCACACCACATAGACGTTACCAGTTTATTGTTATTATTTATTTATTTGAATACTTCAATGGCCCAAGCTAGGGTATTACTAACGTAATAGGTTTTAATTGCAATGAAGAAGAGATTCAATAGCACCTTTGAATTCATGTGAGTCGGAGTGGTGCGAGGCAGTTGCAGGCAGGTGATTCCAGTACCATGTGGTGTGGTTGTAACAAAAAGGGGGTAGAAATGGGTGGTAGTTTGCGCTAGTGAACGATACACTCCTACTGGAAGGTTTGTGCGGCTTCATGAGCAATTACTTGAAAGTATCGCTGGAACTTCACAGGAGCACGATAATAGTTGCATAAAAGGTATAGTCTGGGCATACGCACTCGTACTCATAGGTTAGTAAAGTTACCACGAGTTTTAAGTTAACATCAGGATTACTAAAAGTGAACAAAACAAGCATCATAATTTTGAATTGATTGTAAAGTGTTAGAAAGCTAGATTCGCGAGGATCTTAAACGGAGCGTGCATATTCATCTTTAGGACAAACAAGTGCGATGTAGGATATTAGTTTATAAGAATAGGGTGCAAGTCGTGAATGCCTACGTTCAAAATCTCAAGTGCGATTCAGAGAGTTAGATATGTGAGGTGCGCAGAGTCACCCCGACATCTCACTTGGAAATGTTACTCCAAAATATCTGTACAATTCACCGTATGAAATCGCAGAGCTTCAAATAGCGTATTCTGCTAGTTCGTGATGGCACCTGCACCGAAAAGATTTTAAAAAAGTGTTTGTTTCATGTTTAGCGGAATTGATTATTTATCCCATGAGGATTTATTATGGTCCATGTCACTTTGAAAAATATCAATATCTGCACTGTTTATTTCGAATGGCATTCAATGCAGTCATCTGCAAAGATGTCAATGTTAGACGAGGTATTCGCTTGAAGGTCAATATATAAATAAGAAAAAGTAATGATCGGAGCACTCTACCTTGCAGCACACCAGAGATTACAGAGCAACGGGCAGATGAATGGGAGTAAGCTAACGCAAACTGTTGGTGATTTGGGAGAAAATTGTGAATTCAATTAAAAAAGTTATTTTCAGTCAAAAAAGGTTTAGGAGTAGCCCCTGCTGTGCCCCGCCGCGGTGGTCTAGTGGCTAAGGTACTCGGCTGCTGACCCGCAGGTCGCGGGATCGAATCCCGGCTGCGGCGGCTGCATTTACGATGGAGGCGAAAATGTTGTAGGCTCGTGTGCTCAAATTTGGGTGCACGTTAAAGAACCCCAGGTGGTCGAAATTCCCAGAGCCCTCCTATACGGCGTCTCTCATAATCATATGGTGGTTTTGGGACGTTAAACCCCACATATCAATCAGTAGCCCCTGCTGTGGAACTTTGTGAAATGCTGTATTTTATATTTCGAAATTGAAGACGAGTACTTCAACATTCTTTATTCTGAGGTGGGAAAAACAAATCCTCAGACCTCACCATAAACATATAGCAGGGAATACCAATTAGAAAAAAAAAAATGAAGAGGGCAGATCCTAGTGAAAGTTTGAGGGGGAAGGATGTGCAAGAGAAGTGGACTCTACCCCCCGCCCTCCCCCCATTGAACAAAAAAAAAATCTCTTGCTTTGGTTTACAATGTTGTTCATGCTGTTAACATGTTTCGCCGAGTCTATCTTCAGTGATGAATTTTTGAGATATGCAGCCCAATAAGGCTGTTTTCGACATCTCACTTTTTTGTTTGTTGTGAAGGAGAAGTTGCTTGTTGATTTAAACTCCTCTTCCAAAATGAGTGCTCTGTAAAAGAAAATAACTTTGGATTATTGCTCCTCCCCCTCCCCGCCCCCCGTTAGTGTCAAGTTGGTTTGCATATTAGTTTATTTACATTTTCCTAGTAGCAGATGCGGAGTATATAGATACGTAGAGTTAAAGTTAATCTTGTATTTTTGTTTTATTTTTTGTAGACAATGGTGTTCAGTGGGTTTAAAAAGCGACAGAAAGTCGGGTTGCTAAAGATATCATAGGTTGACTTGTAAGTATTCATCAACATGTTTTCTGAGCTTGAGAGATGAATTGCATGATTCTGATTCTGAGAAAAAAAGTTTGAATTGTGGCAGATGGTGCTCGATAGTTGTTAGAGATTTAATTTTCGTGAGTGCAATGTATATATATTTCACAATTTTCGCTTAAACGTTTTTATTTCATTTTTCGTTCTCTATTGTATTTTTCCTTTTCCAGTTTTTTCTTTTTTTCTCTCAATTTATTTTTCTTTCTTTAGTTTCTTTTTGTCCTCATTTCTTTTTTGTTATCGCTTTGTTGTCTGGTTTTGTTTTCATAGAGCGAAATTCTCGTGTTTTTTGTCGTCCGAACTTTTTAATGTTTTTTTTCTATTCTTTCTGCTTTTTTTCAAATTTTCGGTATCTTCACTCTTTTACGCTTTCTTTTTTGTTTTTTTACAGAATTTTTTTCATTCATTTGACTTGTCTCAGTTTGACAGTTCCTCAGCATAGCCAACCATTTCATAATATTAACAATTTCCTTTCCCTTGTAGAATGCATTAGGAGTAACAAGGAGCATTTGCTTTCAGTACTTTATTATTATTAAATGCTGTATAGTTCTAGTCTCTCCCCTCCTTTTTTATGAATCGTGATTTCAACAGTCATAATTAAGCGAACGATGGTAGTGATGCCGTGATAGAATAGACTTAGTTGTGTGTCACATGGCAGTCCTGAGCGAAGGCTGTGCCTACTGACAAGAAAAAATTTGATGACTAAGAACCTGACGATTTTTGAGTTGCTCCTTTTTATAGTTTAGAACAAATGCTAGTAAGTGAAATGGGGTGAGAACGGCTGATAAGAGATGAAATACTTTTTACAAGGATCAGAAAAATCTTGCTCACTCTCGTGTTTTCCGGCACCACTCCTGCGATGGTAGTTACTGCTAGAAATTTAGCATAAAACTAAGAACCTATTTGATATTTTTGAGCATATTCGAGTCGGTACCATCGATGCCACATGACGAGGGGAGTTTTAATGAGTCGATTAGCTTTTCCAGGCCATTTGGACAAACTAAGACGTCAGGCATGAGTGTACGGTTTCAATTAGAAAATGGAGGCAAATTGTCGACAGGTTCAACAATAAACATGGATGAAAAAAAGCTTTTAGTTTGTTCGGCGGCCACATAATCAGAAATCAGGTGGTTTTCATTGCTGTACAGTGCTAAAGCCTTTGCGAATTCTTAGGGCTAGTAGTGTTCCAGATTTTCGCTGGTTCATTTCTTATCATAACAATCAATGTCTGTGAAAATAAAGGGTTTTTCTCTGGTAGGCAGTCTTCCTCAATATTTTTACGTGGCGGAGTGACTGTTCCACGCGCACGGGTTAACACATCATTTTTGTCATAGAAAATGTATTTTATTTTATTGATCAGTTGCTTTGACATGACGTTTAACCTCGAGGATGATTTTTCCTCGGTTGCGGTAATTTCGGACACATGTTTAGTGAATATATTCAATATTTTGTTTGTGAAGAGTAGCCAGTTTGATTCGACAGATATTTTAAAAGTAGGTTAGGAGAAAAGCAGTGAGTGCTTGAGCGTCTAGTTGATAGCTTAACAATCGCCTTAGTTCTACTGTGTTATCGCTTCAGTTTTTTTTTTTTGCTGGATGGGATAATTTACTGGAATTGTATGCGTGGATGACTGAGAGGTGACGGTGCTCTGATGAAAGCGTCATCTCAGATACGTTGTGAAGCTCAGAATCAATAACAAGTCAAAAATATTAAGGGAAATATTTCTGTAGTGTCTGGGTTCATTTTCGAATGGTGTTAAACTAAAAGTTAGACATGAATTGATGGAATCGCCCTTCCCTACACTGCTTGTGGAAGGTACGCATGCTAGGTTAGTCCAAGATATTGTCGGAGAACTAATGTAAGCGAAAAGCAGTACGTAAAAGTGTTGATAAGACTCAGCTAAGAAGCGAAGAGCGTCATTGAATGCGGGTACAAAAAGCGGACACTAGCAGAAGGACGATAACAAACACCAAATATGGTGGGTGAATAATATTCACTTCAAAAAACAACAGAATTTCTAAACTTGTGAATGCCTGGAATCAGGGTGTTAAAATAAGTTAGGCAATGACACTGGGCCCGGCGCCACGTTAGATTGTGTTCGCCGCCTGGGCTGCTTCCGTTTGATGCGACATATGGCGCTCGAAGAGGGTGGGCCAAGGCGCTCACTGGGGAGATGCTCCAATCTGCTTATGGAAGGTTATTGCTGTGGAGCCTCACTTGTTTATTACGCTCGAAATACATATGTACATGGATATCAATAAATCAAGGCACTGGGATTCTGTTATAACGAAATGGATTTCCTAATTGTGTATGCAACTTATTTCCCAACAGTGTTTTTCTCATTTAAGTACTTCGACAGCAGTAATATTAATAATTTAATAATAATTTCTATTTGCACATCAAAGAGCCCTCCGGGGACGTGTGAGGCTAGACAGAAAGGAAAGACTCTCACGTGCGCCTGCTAGCCTGTCGCCGAAGGCGAAGAAAAAGAACGTTGGCCTAGAGAGCGGTCGCATTTTGACGCGACAGCACTGCTCGTTTCACACAAGCTCTGGTGTCAGCGGCATCG